TCCCTCCACCACCACCTCACCATCACCTCCCCGCCTCCCTTCCACCTTCCCCCCGCACTGTCCCTCAGCCCGGGCACCTCTGTGTGTGCGTGTGTGTGTGTGTGTGTTTGTGTGTGTGCCCCGCTCTTTTCTCGATGTCTGCCTCAGTGCCTGGCAATCAAACTGGAGCCAATGTTTTATTCCACCATCCAGAGCTGACCCGATGCCTTGGTTGTGGGCTCTTACAGGCAATAGCTTGCTTGATGGACATGAATGCGTTGTTGGACAGATTTCACAATTACATCCTACCGCACCTCCGGGGGGAGGACCGAGTTTGTCACTGCAACTGTGGAAGGTGAGTGACCTGCCGGGCGTCCCCTGCCCCCGGCCCTTCCCCGGGGAGGAGGTGACCAGGGACAGGAGCTGCTGCCTGCCAGCCGGGCTCCCATTTCTGCATTCTGCCCGTGTCTCACCTTCCCCGGCAGCTCCTGCATGAGCAGGGTGAGGGGGGGGGGTGGTGGTGGTGCTGGGGGGGGGGTTGTTTGTTTTTTTTTAATTTTCTGGAAGAAGAGTTTTCTGTGGGTTTGGGAGCGCGTTTCCCTCTGTGTACAGGCGTTTGGGAGCCCCTGGGAGAGTGAGTAACTTTGATTTCAGCGTTTGTCAGTTTGCCTTTTGTCGCCAGCTGGGCCGTGGTGGTTGCCCAGGCTGTTTGTGGTCTGGGTGTTGCAGTTGGTGGTGGTTTGTGTGGCTCAGAAATGGAATGGGGCTCGGAGGAAGGAGAGGATCCCTGTCCAGGCTGGAACGTGGCTGCCTAGAGCAAGGACAGAGTCTCTTGGTGGCTTTGCAATCAATCTTCCACCAGCTTTTCCTTCCCTGTGGCTTTTCCTCCTGGCCACAGCACCCTGAGGAGGCTGGGCTGTGCTTTTGGGTGAGCCAGGAGCGCTGTGCACAACTTCGTGCCTGGACAAACACCTGCCTCACTCTCCCCAAAAAACATCGCTCTCGCCGTTATCCCCGGAGCGCTCAGCTCAGAACTGGGATCTGCCTGCCCTGGAGCGTGCCCAGGCCCAGGGCTGAGCTCCGGGGAGGTGAATCTCACCCTGCCCTGTGGGACTGCTCCCCCCGAGGCCTGGCTCCCCTCCTGTGCCTGGTTACTCACTGCCTGTGGAGGAGGAGAGCACTGAGGCTGTGCCAGCTGAAGGACACGCTGGGAGAGCCCTCCCTTGTCACATCCAGCCTTTGGGGCTGAGCCGTGCCCCTGCTGGAGCTGCCAGCTGTGTCCTGCCTGCCTGTGTCACCTCCCCGTGGTGTTCCCAGAGCTGGGACGTGCTGGGCTCGGTGAGGAGCCTTGCCTTCCTCGCCAGGGCTGCTCCTCATCCTCCTGGGACAGAGGAGGCAGCAGCAGGGCCAGGAGCAGCCAGGCCTGGGGATGTGGCAGCACCCTCAGCTCCTGGGGCATCTCCCTCCTAAAGCCACTTGGAAAGGCAAAAAAACTTCCAGAGCGTCTCCCACTTGCTTTTGGTGAGGATCTGCTTTTTCTGAGCCGGTTTTTCCTTGGTGTTTTTGGCTGGTTTGGGAGTTTTCCTCGGCTTCTTCCACCAGTTTTTCTGGCAGTGGTCGCAGCTCGTTTCAGGGCTGGTGCAGACGAGCTGCTGCTCATGGAGTGGCTGTCATTTCATGCCAGGAGTGATTTGCTGAGGGAGAGGGCCTGGGAGGTGCTCTGGAGTGTCTGAACAGTGTCAGGGCTCACTGGTGGCTTGGCTGAGTGTCCCCTGTGCCCAAGGCTGGGTTGGTGGCAGGGTCACCCCCCTGCTCTGCAGAGATGCTCTCGAGGCACACAGACTGCCCGTGGCACTCCCCACAAGCTCGTTTCCTGGAAAGTGCACAAAAAATCCTCCCAAACTGCCCAGTTGGGAGGTGAGGGGAGGCAAAAAGCAAAGTTGGTGCCTTGCCTCAGGTCTGTGGGAGCTGGCAGCAGTGGCTCCAGCCCGGGAGCCTGGTGTGAGCTGCTCCTCCCTGAGCAGGACATTTCCCTGGGCTGTGCCACCTGGTGCTGAGCTTTGCCTTGCCCTGCTGCCCCCCTGGCAGCGTTTGGAGCCCTCTGCTTCCCAGGCTGGCCTGTCCCCTCTGTCCCCAGCAGCCCTGAGCTCAGTCCTGGGCCAGGAGCAGCCCCCCCAGGCAGGGCTCGATGGAGAAGTTTGAATTTAAATTTGTCAAAAACCAGGAGTCCTCGGAGGAGGAGGAGGGAGCTGCAGCAGGGGATGGGAAAAAAAAAATAAATCAGGAAATGTTGCAGAAATGGAAGGGAAGGAGGGGTTGGGATAGATGGAGATGGATGTGCAGTGGGCTGAGCTGCAATTAATGATCTCCCTCCTGCCCTGGCCTGGCCCACGGGGTCGGGCAGACCCAATAATTCACTCAGAAATGTTTGCCCTCCTCCCCTCTCCTCTCCTGGCTGTCTCCTTCCCCAGTCTGGGTGGAATTGTCCAGCTGGATGTGAGTGCCTGGCCCTGGAAGTGCTCTCCAGGAGCTGGAATTTGGGTTTGAGGGGCTGGGGCTGTCCCAGGGGTGCTGCTGTGGGCAGGGAGGGCTGGCTCTGCATGCCAGCCTTGCACGTGGAGAGCATCCCCAGCTTGGAAAACTGCTGCCTCTGCTTGGGAAGGGGAGCTGAGCCCTGCCAGGCTGTCCTGGGTTATTCCTCAGCCTGATCCCACTCCCTGGCACTGGGATCAGCTCTGCCAGGCTGTCCTGGGTGATTCCTCAGCCTGGTCCCACTCCCTGGCACTGGGATCAGCCCTGGGTGATTCCTCAGCCTGGTCCCACTCCCTGGCACTGGGATGAGCTCTGCCAGGCTGTCCTGGGTGATTCCTCAGCCTGATCCCACTCCTGGCACTGGTTCCTCATCCTGGATCCCACTCCTGGCACTGGGATCAGCCCTGCCAGGCTGTCCTGGGTAATTCCTCAGCCTGATCCCACTCCCTGGCACTGGGATGGGCTCTGCCAGGCTGCCCTGGGTAGTTCCTCAGCCTGGTCCCACTCCTGGCACTGGGATCAGCCCTGGGTGATTCCTCAGCCTGATCCCACTCCTGGCACTGGGATGGTCCCAGCTCCACGCTGGCACTCCCCTGTCCCTGTCCCTGTCCCCACCTCCAGCTCTGGCTGGAGCTGCTGTTGGTCCCTGGGGAGCTGGCAGGCAGCAGCTGTGCCAGGCTGTGCCAGGCTGTGCCCACCTCCTGGGGGCTCTGGGGGCAGCCAGGGGCACGGCCAGCAGGGCTGGCTGCTCCTCACAGAGCTCCTGGGCTCTGTCCTGCTGGGCAGGGCTGAGCTTTGCCCTGTGCTCTCCTCGGAGGGAGCCTGGCCCAGCAGGACGGGCACAGGCAGTGCTGTACATTGGGTTAATTGGGGTTTTAGCCATTCTGCACCTTGTTTTTGCAGTGTTTTTAATCATTCTGTACATTTGCAGTGCTTTAAGCATTCTGTACATCGTTTTTGCAGTGTTTTAGGGCATTCTGTACATTACTTTTGCAGTGTTTTGTAGCATTCTGTACATCGCTTTTGCAGTGTTTTAAGCATTCTGCACATTGTTTTTCAGTCTTTTTGGGCATTCTGTACATGGTTTTTGCAGTGTTTTAAGCATTCTGTGCATTGTTTTTACAGTGTTTTTAAGCATTCTCTACATTGCTTTTCGCAGTGTTTTTAACATTCTGCATAGTTTTTCGGTGTTTTTGAGCATTCTGTGCATTGTTTTTGCTGCCCCAGGGATGCTCCTGCTGCCCCTGGGATGTTCCTGTATTAACCATTCTCTACATGGTTTTTGCAGTGTTTTTAACCATTCTGTACATTGTTTTTGCAGTGTTTTAACCATTCTGTACATAGTTTTTGCAGTTTTTAAGCATTCTGTACATTGTTTTTACAGTGTTTTTTGGCATTCTGTACATCGTTTTTGCTGCCCCAGGGGTGCTCCTGCTGCCCCTGGGACATTCCTGTTTTAACCATTCTGTACATCGTTTTTGCAGTGTTTTAACCATTCTCTACGTCGTTTTTGCAGTGTTTTAACCATTCTGTACATTGTTTTTGCAGTTTTTAAGCATCCTGTACATGGTTTTTGAGCATTCTGTACATTGTTTTTGCAGTGTTTTTTGGCATTCTGTACATGTTTTTTACAGTGTTTTTGGGCATTCTGTACATCATTTTTGCTGCCCCTGGGATGTTCCTGTTTTAACCATTCTGTACATGGTTTTTGCAGTGTTTTTGGGCATTCTGTGTGTTGGCAGTGCCTGGCAAGCCCAGGACAGGGGGGAAGGGAAGCAGCCCCAAGTCCAGGCGCTGCTGGAGGCTGATCCCCCCTCTCCCTTCCCTGGGTCAGGGCACTGGGGCTGTTTGCTGTGGTTTCAGGAGTGATTTGCTGAGTGAGAGGGGCTGGGAGCTGCTTCTGAGCTCTGTGGTGTCCTCTGGGAGCTGTGGCAGCTGTGAAAAGTTGTGTTTGAGGGTCCCAGGGCGAGGGAGGAGATGAGAATCTTGACTCCATGTTTCAGAAGGCTGATTTATTCTATTATTGTATGATATTCTATTAAAATGCTAAATTAAAATTTAGTATAGTATTCTCTACTAAAAAGAATAGAGGGAAAAGGATCCATCAGAAGGCTGGAAAGGACAGGAATGGAATGATGACAAAATCTTGTGACTGCTCACAGGTGGCTGGGATTGGTCACCAAAAAAAAAAAACAATCCACATGGACTAATTGAAGCTGCACCTGTTGGCAAACCAACACCAGACCACATTCCACAGCCATCAAATAGTTAACTGTTTACATTTCTTTTCTGAAGCTTCTCAGCTAGAATAGGAGAAAAATCCTAGCAAAGGATTTTCATAAAAATATCATGGTGGCACCTGTGCTTTGCCAGGGGTGTTTGATAGGGAGGTTAACTCGCTGCAGCATTCTCCAGTTCCAAATTAGCAATATCAGTGATAACCCCAAATTTACTCCAACTAATATTAACAAAACTGTGGCATTCCCATGCCCTCTGAACAGAGAGAAGCTGTGAGAGAAGACATAAAAATTGTTTTTTCCTTCTTCTCTGCTTGCCTCACAGCTTCTCTCCGTTCAGAGGGCAGGAGAATACCACACAAAACTACAGTGGGATTTAATATTAATAATAAATAATCTAATAATTTATTATTATTAATAATAAAGTATTAAAAACCCCATCTGCAGTTGCTGACCACCCAAAGATGAATCCCACCGGTGATGATCTGCATTTTGCTTTGCAGAATTTTGGTTATTTCTTTTGCACCACGTTGGGGTGGCTGCCCTGGGCCTGGGGCTGTGGCAGCACCCTCAGCTCCTGGGGCAT